AAGGCAACATATTTAAATAATCATGTAAACTATAAAACAACATATCTAAATTAATCATGTAAACTATAAGGCAACATATCTAAATAATCATGTAAACTATAAGGCAACATATCTAAATAATCATGTAAACTATAAGGCAACATATCTAAATGATCATGTAAACTATAAGGCAACATATCTAAATTAATCATGTAAACTATAAGGCAACATATCTAAATAATCATGTAAACTATAAGGCAACATATCTAAATAATCATGTAAACTATAAGGCAACATATCTAAATGATCATGTAAACTATAAGGCAACATATCTAAATGATCATGTAAACTATAAGGCAACATATCTAAATAATCATGTAAACTATAAGGCAACATATCTAGATAATCATGTAAACTATAAGGCAACATATCTAAATAATCATGTAAACTATAAAACAACATATTTATTTTTCCAACAACACAATAAATATTTCTTACAATTCTTCGTATAGGGTCAAACAAAATTGAAAAATTTACCACAAAGCTCAGATCGTCTCTCGGGAGATTCGTTCACAGTGTGTAATATATTGATGTTGAATTGAAGTTAGAATACGGCTTCAATATCCATTTCAAATGCACAGCCATTATTAATCAGGCTTAAGAAAACAAAATAAAGCAGTCAACTACCCACCGCCCCCCTCCTCTCCTTATTTGAATATAATGGAAATCGAGGGTTAGTAGTAAAAGACATTAAAAAGTCATTTTCTGCTTCTTTTTTTTTTCTCGATTTTGTTTGGAAGAACCATTTGACTTTTTTTCTTTTAAAATTGAATCGTGGATTTAGCCTAATTGAAACAACGTGAATTTGAAAAAAGCTTCTCCTTTTTTTTTTCAATGTTCAAGTTTGTAGACTGGCTCATCAATTTGTTGATTAAAATATCCACATGGCATTACGTTAACCATGTTTCTGGTCTGCGATCATGTAAACAGCCTAACTCTTTTAATCTAACCCTAACATCGCATTCGTTATAATAACGATTTTTTTGGGGGGATTTACTTAGCAGCTATGGCGATTTTGTGTTTGGATTTATTATTTAGTTCTGATTTAATGGGAATGTTTTATTTATTATTTAGAAAATAATATTCAGCACCGCTAGAGGGAGTAAACTTTTTTTTTTTAGAATTGGTTTCCGCAGTTCAAATAGTGGTCTTGATGTTTCATTCGCTCATTTGATATTGAATTGTCTGTTTGTTGTGTTTCTAAGCACAAAGCTGCACCATGTGATCTCTGCGCTGTGCCCATCGCAGGGATCGAACCCTATTTGTAGGCGTTATAAGTTTGTTTACTGTTTATTTGTAATTAAGCACAATGCTACACAATGGGCTATCTGTGCTCTGCCCCACCACGGGTATCGAAACCTGGATTCTAGCGTTGTAAGTCCGCTGTGTCACTGGGGGTGGGGGGCGTTATAAGTCGTCAAGTTTATCCACTGAGACAACGGAAGGTATGATATTAAATTCTACATAAAATCAACGGTAAACATTGAATGACTCTGAAACCACTCAGTTTTTGAGAACAACAGTTTGTTTTTTAAACTTGTAGATCAATGTTGTTAGATGAGGGATTCTATTATTAAACACAGACAGAAAACAGACACGGTGATCATTAGGTTTAATTTGACCTTAACCTACGTCTCAAACACTGCGAAGTGCCTTGATGAAAAATGTTTCCTAGGTGGACAGCGGTAAGTTTACAGACTCACAACGCTAAGATTCGTGGTTCGATTCCCCGTGGTGGACACACAGCAAGTAGCCCAATGAAGCTTTACTCTGAAACAACCAACATACTTAATAAAGTGGCTACATCTATTGGTGCAAAATAGAAATAGTATGATGTATTTACTTTAAACAAGAAGGAATCCTCAATAGACGCGTTATAAGTCCGTAATTAACCACGGGGGAACCTGGAAGGACAAAAGAACAGTAATGTGCAAGGACTATGTGTACTAGCCGTCCTTAATTTTAAAAACAGTAATGTCCGAGGACTATGTGCCGTCCTTAATTTTAAAAACAGTAATGTCCAAGGACTATGTGCATTAGTCGTCCTTAATTTTAAAAACACTAATGTCCAAGGACCATGTGTACTAGCCGTCCTTAATTTTAAAAACAGTAATGTCCAAGGACTATGTGCCGTCCTTAATTTTAAAAACAGTAATGTCCAAAGACTATGTGCATTAGTCGTCCTTAATTTAAAAAACAGTAATGTCCAAGGACAATGTGTACTAGCAGTCCTTAATTTAAAAAACAGTAATGTCCAAGGACTATGTTCACTAGCCGTCCTTAATTTTAAAAATAGTAATGTCCAAATGACGACTGACCTGTAATAGAGTTAGTATCTATATTGAGGGGGTAAAATTAGAACTCTCAAGATGGCGGTAGAAAACTCATATGTAGCTTTTTTTTATTAAATGAGTGGTTAAGAAAGAAAACTGTTGACTGATAGCTCACTAACGAGAATGTTCAATGTAGAATAAAATTATCACGTTTTACATTGATGTGAATTCATAATGGCTAACGTAACTTGGCATTCCTCTCTTTTCTTACCCTTTCCAAGTGTTTGCTACCGAAGAATTCGTGTTGTTCAGTTCTTGGCTTCTGGTATGTGACATTTGTTAATGTTCACTGGAATGGAAATTGCTTTAACAATTCGAATATCCGAATTTCAAATGAAAATAAAAAAAGAGACTTTGTCTTAATAACTAAATAAAAAACAGAAGAAATTCTGTCGAGAAGATTAGGAGTTGAAAAGATATGAAGTGGGATTTCTTTTATTTGGAGTCTCAGAATACCACACTGACATTGACAAACGTACTTCACGAATATATATGGAAATAAGTTCCGAAATGTTTCGTTTTACAATAGAAAAACATAAGACACACATAAAACCCAAAACTAATATTTTCACTCTCCAACTTTCACTCATGGCTACATCAGTCAAAATTAACAGAACGTTCACAGAATTCTGTTATTTTATTCATTTTTGTTTGTTTTGGAATTTCGCGCAAAGCTACACGAGGGCTATCTGCGCTAGCCGTCCCTAATTTAGCAGTGTAAGACTAGAGGGAAGGCAGCTAGTCATCACCACCCACCGCCAACTGTTGGGCTACTCTTTTACCAACGAATAGTGGGATTGACCGTCACATTGTAACGCCCCCACGGCTGAAAGGGCGAGCATGTTTGGTGGGATGCGGATTCGAACCCGCGACCCTCAGATTGTGAGTCGAGCGCCTTATCCACCTGGCCATGCCGGGCCCTTATTTTATTCATAAGAAAGTGTAGACTTGACCCTAACCCCATTACAACACTATATAACTCCATTACAACACTATTAGTGTTGGAATGGGGTTAGATAGTGTTGGAATGGGGTTAGTCTAACCCCATTCCAACACTATACAGAAATGTTACAATGATTTGAAAGTAAGTTTAGGGTTATCCTTTGGAGTAAAACATGTTAAAGTAAACATTTTACATTTATAAAAATATCACGAAAGTCTTGAAGAAGATTGCTAACGATATTGGATTATTTTTCTCTTTCCACACCTACCTGACTAATCTTTCAAAGACAGTTGAGGAATAATCTGACATTTAACTGTTCATTATACATATATACAGTTGAAGATAGAACACGGTTATTATATATTCAATCATGTAATATTTTTAATGATTTAATTACCAAAAATGACATAAATTTATCTTGAATTGTATAAAACTACAATAGAATATTTAAAACCTAGTTTAGCATTCCGGGCTGCTGATTGGATAATCCAAGGTTTGATCCTTGATGTGTCACTTTTGTAATAATGTTACCGTCATTATTTTTACAGTCAAATACCACTATATGGTTAGACAAGAGTACCCAAAGAGTTGGCGGTATGTGATCTTAACTAGCTGCACAGATATCCCTTAGTAGCTGCACGTGAATATCCTAAAACAAACAGTTTTTACAAATTATATTTGGTCTAAGTTTAGTTGTGGCCAAGTTGAGATTTGTTTTCTCCAAATCTCGTGTTTAGTAAGAGAGTGCAGGCCATATTTAAGTTTATTTGTGGCCAAGTTGTGATTTGTTTTCTCCAAATTTTGTGTTTAATAAGAGAGTGAAGGGCCATATTTACTCTTCGTCTTATTTAGCTAGTCAACTATTTAATATTTTACGTAATCAAAAACATCTAGAAATATTTGACAAAAATGTCGAAATATAGTAGCAACAATTTTGATATGTTTTCTGATATTATTATTAAGTCTATTAACAGACATACCTGAAATTGTAAAATAAAATAACAAACACTCATCAATTAGTTTTTCCTTGATCACGCCCTCTATCTGAAGGAATGGACTTAATTAAAATAACAGTCCGTATCGATATAGAATGAAACGTACAAATATGTTAACTCAGACTTAGAAAATACTGAAAATACGATGACATCACACTTTCTGCTAAAGTAATCACCATAGGAACACGGAGAGAGCAAATCTCGTGCAGAAAGTGTAATCTCATCGTAAAGTAATCACCATAGGAACAGGAAGAGAGAAAATCTCGTGCAGAAAGTGTAATCTCATCATAAAGTAATCACCATAGGAACAGGAAGAGAGAAGATCTCGTGCAGAAAGTGTAATCTCATCGTAAAGTAATCACCATAGGAACACGAAGAGAGAAGATCTCGTGTGTAATCTCATCGTAAAGTAATCAACATAGGAACAGGAAGAGAGAAAAGCTCGTGCAGAAAGTGTTATGTCATCGTTTCTGCACGAGATTTTCTCTCTTCCTGTTCCTATGGTGATTACTTTACGATGAGATTACACTTTCTGCACGAGATTTTTTCTCTCCGTGTTCCTATGGTGATTACTTAACTCACTTACTGTGTGTACAATGGAATTTGCTCCGTCGTGATTTCATGATGACATGTAATACAGGATTAATGTTAGTTTTTATTATTAATATATTTCTGATTCGGCATCCACAGATAGCCCATTGTGTAGCTGTGAGCTTAACAACAACCAACCAACCACATCTTCTAAGTTCAAAATAGGAGCGGAAATTTGTAAACAACACCTGGCGTGGAAAGATGACGAGATAAAAACATTTTTCTTCTTTGATCATCACATAAATATTTAGCTAAATAATCTCAATCGAAACTATGTGGACCCTGCAAAAGAGCTGGAACGTTTTACACATCGAAGAGAAGCAGTATTTCTTCTGGCGACACTCTGGACTCACGTCGAGAGTCATTATAGACAGAATTCGAGGGCCGCTGACGTGGCTGAAACCAGAATTGTTTACGTGGATGATAATTTCTTTCTTTGCTCCGAACAGTTCCGATTCAATTGTGCCAAGAATCGATTCATGTGTAATAAGACTTTGTGAACAGTCTTATGTCGTGTAGGACAGGACATATTTACGCTGCGTCGTGTCTGTGGTGGGTGTTTTTCATAGAATGTTTAAAAAGTCGACAGTGTTATTATAAACATCTGATCAAAGAAACTTACCTCCGCGGATCAGCCCAGTAATTAAGAAATCTATTTAAATATAATGTTTTTACTTATAATGATTAAAATGAATTATTTCATGAATTGGGTATCCTCGTTGTTAGCGACGTTGTTGGCAGTAATCCCAATAATAACCCACGAGGCTCGGCCAGCTTGATTGATTTAGGCCAATCCTAATTGTGTATATACTTTAAGTAGACATCACATGCTCTTATTGCCAACACGTATGTACTGTAATATATGTGACTTCAGTTTGTTAACTTTGAAATTTAGTGACGCCAAAAAAAAATTACCTTTTATAGCTGTCATACTGACCAATTTCCTGTCAGGTAAACTTTCACTCTGTCAACACTATCTGTCGTCTCACGTTTATAATAGATAACCAAACTGAGAAGAAATCAATTATTATATTTTTCTCTCTAATTTTAAATAAACATGGCTGTCCTCTAACAGATTTTCTTTTTCTTCTCAGCAATTTTAAAATCGCCATCTGTCGGTAATAAGCTGCCAAGATTATCAAAAGGGAAAAATGAAATAGCGTTAGAAGTCGCAAAGATTGAGGTTAATGCTTCAATTGTGTATGTTGAATATTTCATTGTTCCGTGTGTGAAAATTTCTTCATGTGCACAGCTGTATACAAAGTGTAGAGGTTCATGTAATGAGAAAAAAAAACACAAACAAAAAAAGACAGATTGAGTTTTTCAAGATTATCAATAACTTCTGCTAAAACTAAACTAACTACATAGATAAGAACTAACGATAAATCCAGTAAAGCTAATTGGTGTAACTAAGAGCATACGATGTCAGAAAATAAAAACTTACAATAATTAGAATACTGCGTTTAGTCAATTCGGTACTCTCTCTGCTATCGATGTTTTCGGCCGTAATCCCAATAATGTAATAAGCTTCTTCTCTCTTAAATAACTAAACTGATTTGATATTTGTTCCATATATCTTTAAAAACTAGACAGAAAAAGATGTTATATTTTTAGATTGATTAGATTAAAATGATCGTTTTCACAGCTTGACCTTAAAAGTTATTCTTAGAACATTTATAGACAGTTTAAGCGTAAAGTGTGAGCCTTCAGAACACAGAATACGTATACGTAGAAGTAAGACAATTAGGGTTAACAGATTGGTTTTAAACATGGAAAACAAACTACAGATATCGATCCTTCTGTCTTGAAGGCATTTACAAGTGTATAAGTAATGCCAATAAAGAACCCTTGTTTGAAATGGCCTAATTTTTTGTTTATTCAACACATAAAAAGTGCTTCCAAGATCTACCAGTCATTTTGCTTCTGTGTTCTTGTTATTATTTGTTTTTCTATTTTTTTACACTATCAATTGAATTATGTAATTTTATGAAAATTATTTGGCATTTCCTCCTTATTCATTATTATTCGATCACGAAGGAAGTGTACAACCATATTTTTTTATATAATTCATTCCAGTGTTCTAAACCTCACTGGTTCGTAAGTTCAGGTTAAACAACGTAATTCGTTTCCAATGATGTCAGGGTTATGATAAAAATAATATTACTGATTCTCCAGATGTTCAGTCAACATTTGAGAGTCATGTTCAGTCAACATTTGAGAGTCATGTTCAGTCAACATTTGAGAGTCATGTTCAGTCAACATTTAAGAGTCATGTTCAGTCAACATTTGAGAGTCATCGGTTTAATATAAAGGAAATATACTTTGATATCAGAAACAGCGAAATGTTAAACTTTAATAAAATTCGTAAATTTTTAAAAGGCATCTTCTCTCCCATCTAATTCCTGTATTTTTTTTACGTTTTAACATTTTTTTGTAGACAATAACGTTAAAGTATCCATAAAAACATAAAGTAGAAAAAACACAGCTCGTTTGGTTCGTAAAAAATATGACTTTATAATAAAAACAAGTATTCTGTAAAGAGGTTTTGATTCCTAAGAAACAAGTCAACATGGAAATGGTGTGTCTAGTGCTGAATTATAATGAAAGCAAACTATTTTCTTTCCTTCTCTATGTCACAAAAATATGACACAAAGATGTCCAGATTACTGATGGTGAACAGCCTTTAGTAGTCAGGTTCTCTATTAATATAATACAGAAAAATAGTATAGAAAACTTGAGGATATTACCCAATATTTGTTTGGGAGATACAAGAAAAACAGATATATATATCATACAAAATAAAGTATATACTTCTATATATATATATATATATGGAACCTCGTCAAATAAACTTGTTGTTGTTTCTATGGTGTTTGATTGAATGCTTAGTTATCCCTGAACTTTCAATTTCCACATTTCTTAAGTTTATATTTTACAGTGAATGGAGATTGATCCCCCTGAAGTGTCCCCTTCAAGTACCCCAGAGTAATATAAAGTGTTAACCCAAAGTTGTCATTAAATAATTATACTTTACAAAATGTGACGTATAAACGGTTTATCAGTTTTATTATTCTTCATTTGGAAGATGTTCACGTATCTTCCTATCTAAGATTCTCTATATTTTTCAAGTATTATTAATGCTATAAATGATATCTAAGCTTATTGACGAAATAGGGAAAAGTTATATTTTTATACTTAAAAACAAACCTAGATGTCTCTGCTGGTAGCACGTTTCAGAAGCTACTTGTCCCCCCCACACACGATGGATATATGAGGGAGGAAGACAATGTAATACCTGTATTTTTTACAGCAGTGATTTATGGAACACTTTTAATGGTTCGTGTTACAATTATATTTGTTTGGTGGTTAGGGCACTCAACTCGCAATCTGTGGGTTCTAATCCCCTCACCCTTTCAGCCGTATAGAGGGCGCTGTAATGTAACGATCGATCCAAATATTCGTTGGTAAGAAGTATACCAAGAGTTGGTGGTGGGTGTTGTTGATTAACTGCCTTCCTTCTGTCACATCCAAATTAGGGACGACTGTTGTAGATAGTCCCGGAGTAGATTTGTACAAAATTAAACAGACATATTTATATATATGTATATCTTATCGTCGCTATACTGTCATGGTGCGATGGATTACACACGTAAGCCTTTTTTCCCATGCAATCCAGAATTACTAGTGTGATAAGTTATATATTCTAGTGTATAGCTTGAAACAAAATGTGTGGCTCTTATAAGACTCTCAAAATAACGTTTCTTTTCAGGAGATACTCCAAGGAGAGATTCTCGGTCACCAAGACAAGTTATTGTGGCCAAGAAACATTTGAAACCACACGGATATCACTTCACGGAGACCAAACTTTTGAAACCACTGCGATTTGTTCGGATATTACTCCGGGAAAACAAAGAAACGTTTCACTCCACTGCGTTTGTAGTGGACTTAATTCACAAAATCAAAGGAATATTCGAAACAGCAGTGATTTGAGACCGACACTACTTGAAGATAATTAAAAAGCTGAGAACAGTCTTTTCATGAACATTCCATAACCTTATCTACTGTCAGTTATAGAACGGAATATGGAAACTGTTTCTTTTCAATATCATCTCATCAGTTCGTGTTTGTTAAGTAAAGGTAAACATTTACTCGTTACTAATAAACCTTCTTCGTGACGTCATTAAGTAAACTTGCGCCACCTTCTGTTTTTTTTTATTTAACTTTAAAAAATTTTGATTATTTATTAATAGTTTCGTTTTGAGTTTACTTACTGGTTTTATGTATTATTTGATTACAAGTTACAGCTTTTAACAGTAAGGAAAAATATTCTTAAAATAGGTACGACGTTTCGATTACTGGTACGATTATTCTCAATCACGTGTACTTGAAAATGATCTCACCAGTAATCGAAACGTCGTACCTGTTCTAAAAAATATTCTTCCTTACTGTTAAAAGCTGTAACATGTAATTAAATAATATTATTTATTCTCTGTTTCTTGGGTTAATTTGTACTCAATCAAAATGTCTATAACATTTATTTAAATAAGATACAAATGATTGATTTAATCAGAGAATTAAAAAATATATTGGTTTAGCAGGAAAATGCGCACGTTGTTTAACATTTTTAAATATTCTAAACGTCTTCTGTTTTAGCTGTAAACATCACTTATTCAACTAGTAAACCAATAACCACTCAAGCTTCACCAATTGTCAACATCTCCTGATCATAAATAACCCGTGATATTTAATTCCATCACCAGGGGGAGTACTAAAAATAATGGGTAGATATAGTCGGGTGTGGCCAAGTGCCTATCACGGTGGACTGTTAATCCGTGGAATCCATGGCTCGCGTCCCCTCCCTAAAATTTTTACTCCGCACTTGAGTGACAATCAAATTCCCCAACTCGATCAGAGTATTTCAAGAGTTGGCGGCTGGTGCTGTTGATTAGCTGCCTTTGCTCTAGTTTATAAGATCAAAACTAGGGGCGGCTAGTGCATGTAGCCCTTTTATAGCTTCGTGCGAATATCGAAAAACAACAAATAAATAAAATATTTTCTATAATATGTGGTTAAGATAATTTCAGAGTTTTAATGTAAAGACTTTATTGGACTAAACCCTGGAATAAAGACTTTATTGGACTAAACCCTGGAATAAAGACTTTATTGGACTAAACCCTGAAATAAAGACTTTATTGGACTAAACCCTGGAATAAAGACTTTATTGGACTAAACCCTGGAATAAAGACTTTATTGGACTAAACCCTGGAATAAAG